GTGTAAATTTAAAGACATTTGTGGAAATTGAATGGTGTGCGTGAAACGTAATGGGTTGGGGTGTGAACTGCCTGTTTTCTAAATTAAGAAAACAACACTTGATTGCAACCATTTAGTCATTAACAAATTCCTGAAGTCACTAATATATTGTACCACCTCCTTCTGGCAGCCCTTCTGTGCCTGCCAGACTACATGCACGCAGTGGTGAGCAGGGACTACCTCCAGTCCCAAGGCTACTCAGCCCAGATGGTCACCCTGAACGACGATCGCTGCAGACCAACAATCACCCCACGGGAGGTTGTGTTCAACATTCCCTACGACGGCTGCGGGACGACACGAGAGGTGCGTTCATCATCAGGGTGGGCTCTGAACTGCAGGACCCACTGTGAGAAGAGTCACAGGAAGGCCTCTGTGGCCGACGAGACCTGGAGGTTTTAGTGCTCTGGCTTTCCGAGCCTTAGGGAATATCTGTGCTTAATAAGAAGGAGTTTCTAGGGAGGAAAGCATGGGAGAGAGCTATGTGAATTTTCTGTGACTTGAAACAGATACAGTCCTGCAAGTGCACAGGATTGGGATGCCTGTGTTCCACACAACTGATGTTTATACAGATGTTCAAAGAGTTGGCCCTGTCTTGGATTTAACAGAGTTTTTCTCCACTGAATTCTGCTTAATTACACACAATTTACAATGTGTAAGCAGAAAAGACCAACATCAAGCTCCTTGATTTAAAGTGTGTAAGACAAACCTACATTTTTAAAATGCATATTTAAGCTTATGAAACCTTAGAACTTACACGGAACGTGACAAAAATGCAATTCCTCATTTTAAATTGCGCGTTAAACAGGAGAACAACGATACAATCAACTATTCCAACGTGATCAAAGTTGCATCTTCCGGGTACATAATCAAGAGGCAAAAGAACATCAACTTGCATATCAGTTGCAAAATGCTGCAGAAGACGTGGATGCAAGTGATGTACACTGCTGAGGACACTGTAGACGTGAATGAGTATCAGTTTGGAAGATATGACATGAACATCACCTTTTACGATTCCTCGGCATTCTCGCGGCAAGTGCGCGACTCCCCGTACTTCATCGACTTGAACCAGAATTTGTACCTCCAAGCTTGTCTTCACAGCTCAGACCCAAATCTGAAGGTGTTTGTGGACACGTGTGTGGCATCGCCCGATCCTCGTGACTTTCACACTCTGGCCTATGACATAGTCAGGGACGGGTAAGAGCTCTCCTCAAGCTGTTAGAGGCACACCTGTAATCTGCACTTATTTAAAAGAATAGAACCAGTCTGAGTCAGGTTACAACAGACTGTTAAAAGGGGTCTTTTTTTATTTTAACAGCACGAGCCTGGAAATAAGAAATTACATTTAGACCTTACTAACATTTCTTTTCAATTACTTCATCTTTGTCCTATAAGCAAAATTCAAAGTAGTGGGAGTGACATAAATGAGACAGTGAAAAACTGGCAGCAGGAATCTGTAATCCTGGGAGTTTAATGTTTTAGTAAAGCCAGGGCAAGCATTAGACTAACTTTTTTATGCCTCACACAGCACAGATATTAATAAGGGTCTGTTCTTCCTTCTTCTTTAATTGTCCTCCTCTTGGGAAAAAAAAAAGAAGAGTTGTCAATTCTCTAGCTCTTTCATAGGACTTAAATATATTTTTAAAGTCTATCTGCTGTGAAAGTTGCATTTTTATCCCTTTGTTTTTAGTATCTGACTATGATATATTTTAGTTTTAATCTATTGTATTTTTGCAGGAATGTGCACCTGTGCAACCACCAAGAGTGACTGTCTTTTTTTCGTTCCTTTCTAGGTGTCCCAGAGATTCTTCCTATGCCACATTTTACTCCCCTTCCAGCCACTTTGCTCGGTTCAAATTCAATGCCTTTGAGTTCATCAGCCGCCACCCCTCGGTGTACCTGAAGTGTGAGCTGATGGTCTGCAGGCTCGGGGACTATTCCTCCCACTGCTACCGGGGCTGCACCAGGAGGTCCAAGAGAGACACGAGTTCTGTCGAGGAAAAAGTGGACGTGGTTGTCGGGCCAATTCGGCGCCAAGAAGGGGCTGCTCGGAGTGGGAGTACTACCAAAGCCAAATAAATTTCTCTCACATTTGCTGTAAGGTGACTTCAGGCTCCAGGAAAAGCCATACCTCTGCATTTCTGCAATCTGCTTTTGCCAACTTCTCTGTAAAAAGGAAGTTGTCAGCTCCTTGCAAACCCCCTATTTTTATCTGCATATTTAGAATATATAACTCCTTTGGCTGTCCAAAAGGAGAGATTGCCTATAACCCATTTTAGTGCTATGACTCCTTGAATTGAACTAATTAGTTTCAATCTGCTTGTGTAACGGCACTTGGGGACATGGTTTAGTGATGGACTTGTCTGTGTTAGTTTAATGGTTGGACTCGGTGATCTTAAAGGTCTTTTCTAACCTAAATGATCCCATGATTCCATGATGGTCAGCTGGGAGCAAACACCCAGCCTCCTTGAGAAACACTTCATTCCCTCAGTTGTCTTCTGCTTATGAAGTTGACCTAGTTCAGTTGTCATCCCTGCCAATATCACATGGAATATTGTCAGTTCAAAGGTCAGCACCACCCACTAAACGACCACAGGGCAAACATCACATATCACCAGACGCCAAAATGCTTCACTGATGACAGTCACACATGTGCCATTTGTGGGAAACCACGATATCTTTACCTACAATGAATCCTGGCCTGCTGGAGTGCTTTAGAATAGCTTTATAATCCTAACATCTCTTAAATAATCATCTCTAATAATTTCAATGGTCACACCACAAGTTGTTTGATACAAGCATTTTATTATTTTTCTCCTCTTCATTTCTCTTCTCACATCAACCTAAAACCATTTATCTAATGCCTCAAAATTTTGTGAGTTTGACTGAAAATGTGAATGAGGTACCAATAAATATTTCAAGGCTTATTAAAAGGAAGGAAGATTTAATTTGGGGAGAACGGGTCATGTCTGGAAAGGAAATGTAAAAACTGATCTCACCACAGCAACTGGAATTGTGGCTATGCAATATTCTAATTCTTTTGAGCATTGCTTTTAATGCTAAATTTCTTGTTGAAACAATAATGGGACTGTGCTTATTTAATGCAGAGATTTCCATGCTAAAATAATCTGTTCTGTGAGCAGTGTAATTTATAATCAAAAGAAGGAATGTTTACAAAGAAATAAATCTATTTTGTCTTTCAAATTAATGTCTCTGTGCTTAAAGTACAAGCAAATGTTTTACTGTGTTGAAGAGTGTGGTCTGGTGGATTAAAAATTCCAAGTGATGGAGTATTTGACTTTCCAGTATTTGACATTCTGCCCATCAGCTGTGTTTTGAAACACTTCTACATGATGTTTTGAAGAGGTGTGAGGTACCTCTGTCTTCTATAAGTGTTCGGCACAGCTACAGCAAGGAATTTTAATGGAGTTAAACTGTAAAGGGTGGGTAAAAAAATTAAATAAAGTTTAGCAGGAAAAGAAAAAAATATCCAGACAGCAGAGGGAAGGCCTTGAAACACTTTCTGATTCCTCACTGATGGTAGAGGTATTTGCAAAGCTAAGAAGCAACAGAGCACAGAAGTCATTGTGCCTCCTCCTCCTTCATCACAGGGGTTGCTGCTCGACCAGAGCATCAAAAGCATCAAAAAGATGGATGTTCCCAACAGACATTTCTCCAACTTGCTGAGGCAATCCCTTCTCATGCTTAAGGAGACTCAATATTGAAATCAGCATCACCACAGAAAAGGTTTCCCACAACCTCTGTCCTCAGTTTTCACTGTCTCTGGCCAAGCCCAGGAGTTGTTGCCCTGTCCCTGCTGGCCATGGGGAGGAATTTTCTCTGCTTTCTTTTTAGGTACACTTTTTAGTTGAAAATTGATATTTTTTCCCCAGTAAGTTTTCACTTCTCTAGATTGAACAAATCCAAATTCAACAGATGTTTTGTTAAAGATGTTTGCTGAATCACACAGTCTGACCTAAAGGCTTGTCAAATCAGTTGGAAGCCTTCCCACTGACACACATCCTGAAGCAGGTAAAACCATAAATCTCATCCCAGAGATCAATTCTCAGCCAGAAGACATTTCAGCTCTCACCAAAATGTCATTTAAAAGTTAAAAGACGTTTCATATCTGCTTTCCAGAAGGGTTTTTGTTCAATTTTTATTACTTTTGGCTTCTGATCACAAAATTATTTAATTTTTTTTCCCCTACATGGTTGTATGCTTTGTGGTTGTGAGGAGCTTGGCTTCTCAGGACTTACCCAGCCTTTCAGAATGTCTTGTGTGCATTCACAAATCAGACTGAAATATGCTGGAAATGCAAACACCCAAATCCCATATAAACATTTATCACTGGTGCATGAAAACATGAAAAGCAAGACCTGAGATTTTTGCCTTTCATGTCCTGGTTAAAAATACAAAGAATTAAAGCCAAGATGTAAACTGAATTTGTTTATTTGGCCTTTTGTTTTGGTTTTTTGTTTATTTTGTCTGGGATCAGTTTTATGCCAATCTCATAGTGAAGTCTGGTGCCTGAGAGCACAAAGATGTCAAGAATCAGGAGCATGTGGTTTTTAAATGAGCTTTCTGGGTGCTGCTCATTGTTGTCACCTCCTCCACCCTCAGAGAAGACACACCATCCACCATTTGGCAGCTTTTTGCTTTGAATAACCATCTGATTTTGGTATTAGATCACTTAATTTCTTCCCAGTGTGCCTGCCATGACTGAAACATGTAATCAGTACTTGTTCACCCAGTAGTATGTACTCAACTAACCATCTCAGCACCAAATAAACATATTTTCAGCATCATGAGAAAATCCCTTCCAAGTATCAACCTAATGACTGAATTACAGCACTACCCCAGTTTTGACTGGGATAGTTAATTTTCTTCCTAGTAGCTGGTACAGTGCTGTGTTTGAATCCCAATTTGGTTTCAAATACACACATATTTTTTAGGAAATAATTGCACAGGGTCTACGGGTTCCCAAAGCTTTGTTGTTCCCAGTGTTACAAGACCACCTATTTGGCCAGCACTGGGTTTGAAGCAAAGCTCAGAAACAAAGTCCTTGTTTGCTTGTTTGTCTGCTGAATTTCCTGTGCTTTGCTGTCCTGTTTATCTTTCTATTCTAATTTTGGATTATGAAGCAGATAATTCAGCTCTGCAGTCCTCCTTCCCAGGAACCCACTAGAAAAATATTTATAATTGGCTATAAATAAACATTGTTTTGTTTCTGCATCTCATAGCTAGGAAGTAGATTCATCTTTCAGTTGTTAATAACAAATCCTCATGAAGACTGAGATTTAAAAAAGCTAATTAGGGTTTGCAGGGTAGGTGCAAGAAACATGATTTTTCTTGCTTTCATTACTTTCCCCCCATCCTTTCTCATAGAATCCCACAGATATTCATTGACACCAAGCTGAATTAAGCAGCTAAGCATAATCTGTCCATCGTTTGGGCTTAGAGGTCCTTTAATGCCTGAGCCCAAAAGCTTGTACCAAATTCCAGTTACATGACTAAAGGAATACACTCTGGAGATCACTTCACTTGACTCATAATTTAATTTTTTTTTTATTAACTTCATCAGACTCACCAATTCACCACCCAGTTTTAAGAGGGTTGCTCCAGGCTCTACCTTGAAAGGGAAATTAGGCAGAGAGCACTGCAGCTGGGCTGCTCAGTTTTCCACTGTGCTTAATAAACTCTGAGGAAACAGCATTTCCTGAGACTGACCCACCACTGCCTTTCGTTTGTGACAAGTTCCACATAAAAAGAATTGCAGTCCTTTGCTCTCCAGTACCCCCAAACCCAAGTACAATTATTTTTTTTCACACTTCGTGTTAAATGCCTTTTCTTACAAGCAGAATATATTTTCCTTATTTATTTGCTTTTTGTTATTTTGGCAGTTTATGTATCATGTATTTATTTATGTTACTATTTATTTGTGGGGGTTTGTTTATAATTATTATTTTATGTGTTATTTATTAACCTGGAACAGGTTGTCCAGAGAAGCTGTGGATGCCTCAGCCCTGGAAGGGCAAGGTTGGACGGGGCTTGGAGCAACCTGGGCTAGTGGAAGGTGTCCCTGCCCATAGTAGGGAGTGGAAGGAGGTGACCTTTAAGGTCCCTTCCAACCCAAACTATTCTAGCATTCTATTTTCATGGGGTTTTTACTTTATTTTTTATCTGTTTGGCAGTTTTTATCTAAACGGGAAAAACTAAGGAGACATTAAAATTCTCATGGCACTTGTGTACCTCAGATTTTCTCTCTCAGACTCAAGGACCATGACAGAAAAAGTCTATTTTAATGCCATCCCTCCTGGCTGAGGAAACTCATCAGTGACCCATCTGCGTCACTGGGAGCGAGATTTGTTTTCATGTCCTAGAATAACACTTGGATCACCTCTTTTGCCCTGAATCACTGGGTACCCATCCAAGCAGATTTTTTTCTTCTTCTTTCTCAGATAAGTGGATTAGTCACAGGAGGTAATGTAGAAATTAATTGTACTGCTGCTGTTCTAAAGTCTGAATGATTGCCATCTTTTTTCTTGGTTGTTTTTTTTTTTCCCCAGTTTTCAGGAACTATAGTTTCAAAGAGATGGGTTCTCTCTTTCCTTCTAGTGATCAATACTGAAGTGTTTCTGAAGCATTTGGCATTAATTGTCACCATCTCCCACTGCTAATCCTGGATTCAAGCAGGGCTTTGTTGCATGGGACATGATGAAAATTGAGTTATGTTGATGTGAGGGCTCCGTTCTCCCATGAAAGGAGGTGTCAGGGAGCATGACCTAACCTCAATATAACAACCTGAAAGGAGATTGTAACCAGCTGGAGGTTGGTCTCTTCTCCTAAGTAGCGAGAAGCAACAGGACAAGAGGAAGAAGCCTCTTCCTGTTTTGCCAGGGGAGCTTTAGAGTGGATATTAGGGAAAATTTCTTCCCAGAAAGGGATGGTCGAGCTGGAACAAACTGCCCAGGGCAGTGGTGGAGTCCCCATCCCCGGAGGGATTTAAAAGCTGTGTAGATGTGGCACTTGGGGACATGGTTTAGTGGTGGGCTTGGCAGTGCTGGGGGAACAGTTGTACTTGATGGTCTTAGAGAGCTTTTCCAACCTAAATGATTCTCTGTGGCAAAGCCAGGCCCTCTTTCCAAAATGCTGGATCCCTCCATCCCTTGTTGCAGGCTCAGAAAGCCACCTGTGCAGCCCCAGTTGCAGAAGGGTGGCCAAAATCTGTTGCTTCAGCTTCTTCTCAAACTCTTGGGCCAGGGCAGCGTTCGTTTGAGAGCTGCACACCCAGCATGTAGAGTAAACACTTGATCTGAGCCTTCCCGGTGTGAAACAAGCCTTCTTTGTTTCAGGAGTTCACTGGATTTTGGCAAGGAATGCATTGTTGAGG